CCAGAGGTATCGGGCGCTGGCTGACGGATGTGTCCCCTCTGATCCCCCTGCTGGACAGCAATAAATGCACCTTCACTATGAAGACGGTGCCTTGGGCGATGCCTTGGATTGTTTCCCTCAATCTGAGGTTCAGTGGCACCAATCAGACAGGTGGATAACACAGATGATGCAATCAAACTGCAGCAGGAAGCTTGTTACATTTTACAAACATGTCATGAGTGTGTGTGCTGAGCACAAATTTGCACTACTGAGCAAATCTTTCTCATGCAAACAAACCAGGATATGATCTTAAAATGTATGTTTAAACCGCTTGGATGCTAAAGCATATTCAAAATATATCATTAATAATCAATTAAACGCATAAAAAATCAGGATTATTAAAGCTCCATAATTTGTAAATCTAGAGGAAGATGTTGCGTCAGATTTTTTTTGGTTTGGTTTTTTTCTCTGTCACAGGAAACTCTGTGGAGAGCTTTCATCCCTTTAAAGTGATGTCACTGTACGATGGAGGAACCTTTGACAAAAATTACAACAAGAGGTACCAGCCAATCAAATTCACTGTCCCAGCGTCCACCAAAAAGGTATCGGATATGATGTTAACCACAAAATGTCAAAGCCTGTTTCTAAAAGATGGACGTAACTTCCAGCTGCATTCTTTGCAATGGCCACCAGGGGTCAGGCTGGATAGAAGTTTATGGAGAAAATAACCCTACTGCTAACTTAATTTATGAGCTAAACAGTTATTCAAGAAAAACGCCATGAAGTCGATGGTGAAAACGCAGCTCAAGGCTTCAATGTAATATATCTTCAGAGTCCTTAAGGTTGAAGTCACGATGGCTACGTCCATCTTTTACATACAGTCTTTGCTAGTTGTTTACAGCTGTCTGTGGAGGATCACATTGGCTGCATGTCTGTTTTCAGGTGGAGCTGTACGCTGTCATCACAGGACACGGCAGCGACGAGAACGGCTGCGGAGAATTTTGTGTCACCTCCCACCATTTCGTGATCAACGCTGCTTATAACAACACCCACGTATTTGATTCTGCAGGTGAGGAAAAGATGCTTTCTGCATGACTGCTAAAGATTTTAGATGTTATAGTTGTCAGTGGTCTGAGTCCTCAGGACAAGTTTAATTTTGTCCTGCCATCCAAATTTAAAAATACTAGATCGATACTCTATCCACAAAAATGAATTTGAAATCCTCAAACTTTACATTTCTTTTTAATTTTAAAAAATATTCTGCTGATGAACTAACCTACAAATGTACCTGAGGATTGTTTATCAAGGTGCTTGTTAAAGCCTTAAAAATAAACTGGTCGGTGCAAATTGGAAAACAAACGCTTTTAATGTCGTGTTGGGACCATTAGGAACGGCTCTGGGCTGTGCAATGCGCGTCAAAGAGGGCGCTGTACCGAACGAACACGGCACATGGCTGTACGGCCGTGGAGGCTGGTGTGATGGACTACAGGTGAATCCGTGGAGGGTTGACGTCACCAAACAGGTTGGTTCTTCTCCACCAAGTTTCTCATTTCATCCCTTAAATATTTATGAAATGCCAGACTTAAAGCTCCTCTTAATATGAAACCCACAACAAAACCGTCCTAAAATGTTATTCAGCCACAGTAAGCAGACTACTGGCAATCGAGCCATGCTTTATAGCTTTTTAACACAACAGAACTGTTGCCTTAAAAAAAGTTTGAGAATTTCATGTTTCTTAAGGACAGATGTGGCAATAATGGATCTTACACGCTTTTGCGTGAGCTTTCTAGTGTTGTCCACAATAACAAAGAGAAATCAAAACTGTCTAAAAGCTGGAGAGTCTTCAAAACGGATGCACAGCTGCACTAGGCTGAATATTGTGTTATGCTCATTTCCAGCTCAATGTTGACATTACTGGCCTCTGATAGAGAAGCTTTGCATGACTGACAGTTCAAAATAATCCTTGTCTTATTCTTGGCCTTGATGCAGTCCCTCTGTCTGAAATCGTTCTAGCTCTCGTCTCCATTCCTTTTAGCTGACTGTCTTCTGATTGGCTTCCACGTGTTGACAGAAGAATTGAATCCAGATGGGTGGGGCCCATGAACATATAAGGGATATCCCCTTTATGACATCAAACAGACTCAAGAGTAGGAAAAAAGTAAAAGTACAATCAGTTTGCTGTAAGAAGGACACGATGTGAAATCTGCCAGTGGGAATTCATCACTGCGTCGCTTACACACTTACACAGTGCTTTCTCTAAGGGCTTCTCTTCTTCAGTAGTTTTATAAGAACCTCAAATTGAAGTCATGCTGAGGAGAAGAACTTGATTTGAAGTTGTACCCATTAGAATAAAGGAGCACTTTATTATTCTCGAGTGAGTTATTGACCCCAAAGACTCCTGATCTAATCGAGTAAATCCTGACTAGTCTCTGAGACTGAACCTCACGTCATTTCATTAGACGGGTTTTATTAACACTGTGCGGCTCTCTTCCTGTCCCGACAGCTCAACATGAGCAGGTCTGAATCCAACACTGTCGTCTACTTTGGCTTGTTCAACGGACGGGATCCAAACCCAGCGCAGCAGCCAGGATACATCATCATGACTTCTTCCCTCGTCTTCTACAAGTGATCCCGCTCTTTTTAAAAACTCTCCTGTGAATTTCGATCTGAATGAATGTACAGTCAGTGTAACGATTAAAATGTTTTTTAAAAATTTTTTCCACCGCTTTTGTTCACCGATTCCTTTGCTTTTTCTCCCATTTAATTAACTTTAGCACAATACGGTTCTGACGGCAGCAGTGATGCAAAATAATACCTGCCACCCTCGCCCAGCAAAACCAGCCATTTACATTTCTCTGGAGACGTTACCCCAAAGTCAACAAGAAGACGCCTTACAGCTAAATGGGCACTCCATATGATTTTTTTTTTTTTTTTTTTCTGTCTCAAGCTGAAGATGCATTGTTCTGAGAGCAGCCTCTTCTCCATAATTACATGTAATCATGTCCAATTTGAAACTTTGGCTTGAAGCAAGTGTCTCGCGCTGAGTCATCTTCCAATTGTGCTTCTTATGGGAGGTGAATCCTCAACTTCAGCAACAGAACATCTGCTTCTTGTCGGTGTTTTTGTTATTTTTGTTTTGGATCTTGTTTAGCAAGATCTGGGGAAATTGTCGGCAGAGTAATTAGCTGCTGCAGCTCAGAGCTTAATGATTCCCTCTTTAACGGGTGGGTACGGTCAAATGTTTGGAAGGTAAAACGGTTTTAATATACTTGGTTCTCTATGTTACACACAATAGATTTAAAATTAAACAAATGTCACAAAAGACTCAAGAGTAATTAGATTTTATTAAAATTTATTATTTTTAAAACTTCATGAAGGAAGTCTGACACACATGCTGCTTTGGCCACTCCTCGCTTTAATTTATCACTTGCATTATTTCATTATGATTACTTTACTACTTGTGCATTCATGGCTTCAGCTTACAAGTGGAAATTTCAAACAAAGAATCGCCCAGAGATGAGTTTAATTTATGAAGTATACCCACACCTGTGTCGTCAGTTATGTTTGATCCCATGAAAATGGGCTGATTTTAAGAAAGGTTCCAGTTCCCCAGCACTTAAGTCTCTTTGTTTAACATCTAAAACTAAATATTTAATCTAAAAATACACCAAGCATTTTTAGAAGTATTATTTGTTTGTTTTTGTGTGTATTTGGAGAGGGGAAAAAAAAAAATCATGTCTATTCAGCACAAACCTTAAACTAAGAGCCTTGGATGAAACTTGGATGCTCATGATTAAAAGGTACACTTTTATTTTGATCTTTTAATGACATTATAAGTATTAAAAATAAACATACACATAAAGTATCATTAAAAACATTGCATTATAAAAAAGTTACATTTTCTTGTTCTTAAAGAAGTTAGTGGTATTTTAACAGAGGAGCTCTGAAGTGACATAAAAATTGTTTCCTCTTTTTCTTTGTTTTAAGACAAATACCACAAATAAGTAGTCCACTACATTTAAAACCTAAAACTCAGTTTGATTTAATGATGCTTTCTAACATTAGCTGCTTATCTATCCGTGTCAAAGTAACTACAAGAGTACTCACTTACTGAAGTGAACTTTCTGGTAAATCTCACATCAATTTGAATCAAAATCTTTTCTAAGCATTTCATGTGTGTGTGTGACTGCAGGCATGTGCATGTCAGGCCTTGACACAGGCTTCTTTGCAGCTCTTCTCAGTATCAAACTTGTTGTCATTCCCTAAGCAGCCTCCAAACCAGAACTGAGCACAGGAATTCGCCGTGGGATCGTAGTACCACTTCACCACATATTCCCGACACGGCCCTGGATCCAGGGTCTGGGTGCAGCGCTCGGCTAGAGACCACAAAAAACAGTGTTATCAGAGACGACACCTGTGCTAGCAGCCCTGTGGGGACTCTTATTCTTTTGCTGTGTTCAGTTACTGGTAAATATGTTTTCTTTTTTTGTTTAATGGGACAAGAACAGAGGGGCAAAATAAAGCATTGAAACATGGTTTAAAGTTTCCTGTATTGTAATATATTAAGCACTCTGCAGAACTAAGGACATCTGGGAGAGAAACTGAAAATGGCACTAGAATCAAAATGTGGGACCTAACAGTTTCTAATAGATCAACAATGTGACTTTCATGGTGTAGACAGAGGAATTACATTAGAGGATTGCTTTGATCCTCTGATGACCATCAATGTTTGTAGCAAGGTTTACACCAATCCAAATAAAAGCTGCTGGACAACACTGATCAATATTTTTGGCCCTACAAGGCAGTTCAATTCTTACAAGATTCATGAGATCATGATTATGAGAGAATCCTTCAGTGTTCTGTTTGAAAGTGGTATTTAGGGTTGATTCCAGTCAAGTTTTGCTGCCTAAATCATCCAGTTGACTGAGTGATACCTATCCCTATATTATCACATTTTTTTAAGTGACAGCTGTTTGAAACAGCAACCTTTTTAAAGCAATTTAAAAGCTTAATTTTACTGCTCTGAAGCATCAGAGCAGTAAGAATGCAGGTGTTTACAGCGTTTGTACAGAAATGTCTTTGAAAAATAAGATATGAATCCTATAGTTTCAAATGCATGTTGAAATTGTGGGACAGTTCTTGCTCAGAGCCACTGATGGATATTCTCCAGCAGGGGGCGGCTCTTTTAGATAGAGAAAAAAAAACCCTCATTTTTGCTTCCCTTGATCTGCAAGCTCCTGATGACTTAAGGCCTCGCTCTAATTGTTTACCCAGTAAATTCCAATTGGATTAAAATGATGCTAATTTTTGTAAATAATTAGCATTTTAAATTAAATCCCTGTAATAGTTAGAAATGATGACAAAGCGGGGCATGCTTTAGCGTGGGCCGTACTTGTAATTAACCAGTTCTTCAGTTCCAGTAAGCATTTGCTTTTGATCTCTGATAACGATTACCAAGAGGTCAAGAGCAAAAATACTCAGCTCAAAGATTTACAATCTCATTAACCAATGGGTGAAGTCACTGTGGCCATGTCCAGCCTTTACAGTGGCTTGCAAAAGTATTCGGCCCCCTTGAACGTTTCCACATTTTGTCACCTTACAGCCACAAACATGAATCAATGTTATTGGAATTCACGTGAAGGACCAACACAAAGTGGTGTACACGTGAGAAGTGGAACGAAAATCATACATGATTCCAAACATTTTTTACAAATAAATATCTGAAAAGTGGGGCGTGCGTAATTATTCAGCCCCCTGAGTCGATACCTTGTAGAACCACCTTTTGCTGCCAATCTTTTAGGGTCTGTCTCTACTTTGCCCATTCTTCTTTGCAAAACAGCTCCAGCTCAGTCAGATTAGATGGACAGTGTTTGTGAACAGCAGTTTTCAGATCTTGCCACAGATTCTCGATTGGATTTAGATCTGGACTTTGACTGGGCCATTCTAACACATGGATATGTTTTGTTTTAAACCATTCCATTGTTGCCCTGGCTTTATGTTTAGGGTCGTTGTCCTGCTGGAAGGTGAACCTCCGCCCCCAGTCTCAAGTCTTTTCCAAGGTTGTCCTGTATTTGGCTCCATCCATCTTCCCATCAACTCTGACCAGCTTCCCTGTCCCTGCTGAAGAGAAGCACCCCCAGAGCATGATGCTGCCACCACCATATTTGACAGTGGGGATGGTGTGTTCAGAGTGATGTGCAGTGTTAGTTTTCCTCCACACATAGCATTTTGCATTTTGGCCAAAAAGTTCCATTTTGGTCTCATCTGACCAGAGCACCTTCTTCCACATGTTTGCTGTGTCCCCCACATGGCTTGTGGCAAACTGCAAACGGGACTTCTTATGGTTTTCTGTTAACAATGGCTTTCTTCTTGCCACTCTTCCATAAAGGCCAACTTTGTGCAGTGCACAACTAATAGTTGTCCAATGGACAGATTCCCCCACCTGAGCTGTAGATCTCTGCAGCTCGTCCAGTTCCATACTCCTTCCATTTCTGAATGATCGCTTGAACAGTGCTCCGTGGGATGTTCAAGGCTTGGGAAATCTTTTTGTAGCCTAAGCCTGCTTTAAATGTCTCAATAACTTTATCCCTGACCTGTCTGGTGTGTTCTTTGGACTTCATGGTGTTGTTGCTCCCAATATTCTCTTAGACAACCTCTGAGGCTGTCTCAGAGCAGCTGTATTTGTACTGACATTAGATTACACACAGGTGCACTCTATTTAGTCATTAGCACTCATCAGGCAACGTCTATGGGCAACTGACTGCACTCAGACCAAAGGGGGCTGAATAATTACGCACACCCCACTTTTCAGTTATTTATTTGTTAAAAATGTTTGGAATCATGTATGATTTTCGTTCCACTTCTCACGTGTGCACCACTTTGTGTTGGTCTTTCACGTGGAATTCCAATAAAATTGATTCATGTTTGTGGCTGTAATGTGACAAAATGTGGAAAAGTTCAAGGGGGCCGAATACTTTTGCAAGCCACTGTATATTCACTGTATGTCTGAAAGCTTGTTTGTTGGATTAACATGAGTAACGCTTATTTGATTTCTTGCCAACAGATCCAGGAGATTTACTGGTTCCAGGAAACCTTGAAGTGATGATGAGATTCCAGGAAGTCAGATCTCCCAACTCAGAAATAGTGCATCAGATAAAGTCATAGACTGAACTCAAAAGACATCTGTCTTCTCATCAAAACAGGAACAAACCTTACATGTAGGCTGACTTTAGGATAAAAATGATTAGAATTTGTAAAAATACATTAGCTACTACTTAGATGCACAGAAGAGGCTTTATCTATCATTTTAGGGGACACCTTTATTTCTCCATCTTACAGTCTCTGCTGCAGACTGTCAGCAGTTACCTGATAGGAAGTTGTCAGAGGACAGCAGGGGCGGAGTTGGTACCGGTGGTATCTTCTCTTCAAGCGGAGTCTTCAGAGTAGGACCAGCTGGCCCGATGGCTCCGGTCATCACCACATCGTGTGTGGGGTTGTTCACATCAAACTGTGGGAGGAACTCTGTTACCGGCCTGAAGGGCTCCCTGTCGAAGAACGGAAGCCTCTGAGTTTCTAAGGTGGTCCTACTGTTCATCGTCGGCCTCTTTCTAGAGGTGGACTCACCGTCAGGGTGTGAACCAGGAGGGCCGGGCTGAAACAGGCACAGAAAAATATTTAATGTTTAGTTTATCTTACTGTAGAGAGGTACAGAGGTCA